GAACTAGACCACGACAGAACTCCACAGGCTGGATAGAGACCACAGGTCCACAGATCGAGACCATGACAGAGCTCCACAGAATACCCTTATGAAAGCTTGAGACTTTCCTCATAAGTTCAGTGGTGATAGTAAATTACTTTTATCCTTGTAACATCGTATCCATTTCCCACAGAGTTGGCATTTAATACATATCTGTTTTCAAATTAAGATGGTAAATCCTGTGAAGGATAGAAGTATTTAATACTCATCTGTGTCCTTGTGAAGTACTAGCACTGAATTAGGCACAGGATAGTTATTCTGTATATGTTCATCAACTACCTTGCTATTAACTGAAGTACGAAAGTGTGCTTCCACATGTACACACTCAAAACTGGTCCTCCAGGCTATTCCGCACTCGGCATCTGCATCTATCGAAACTCTTCAGCTCATGTTTTCTTTTCCATACAGCTTGGTCAAAATTTGTCTTAAGTTAGCTTTTTATTTGCTGCAAAATTAACCCAAATAATCAGGACGAACAATTCCAGTGCCCATGAAGGTCAGAGGAGGGGGTCAGATCTCCTGGAACTAGACTTATGGATGGTCGTATGGATGGTTGTGAGCCACCATGTGGGTGTTGGGAACCAAATCCGGGTCCCATGCAAGAACAAACGTTCTTCTCCCCTAAGCCATTGCTCTAGTGCCCAAATAATGTTTAATAAATATTTACTGAGGATAGCTCTAAAGCAAGGACTGGCAAGCTATAAGCCAAACTGGTCCATCTCCTGTTTTTTACAACAAAACCATTTCCATTTGTACTCGTTAATTTTCTACTGTGTCAAAACACAACTTACAGAAGGATTTATTTGGCGCTTACTGTTCTAGAGGGATAATAAATAGTCCATGATGACAGAATGGAGGTAGATTTCCAAACAGTTTTTCCAACTGGGGAGCAAGTATTCAAACATGAGTCTCTGGGGGCCAGTCTCACTCAAACCACCACACCATCCTTTACTGTCTAAGGTGGCTTTTACTCAGCAATAGTAGACTCACCAGTTTAGGAGAGCTCATGGCTCACAAATACTTGAAAATATTTGCTATCTGGCCATCATAGAAAAAAATTTACCAACCCCCAAATTATATTATGAACTTTTTTGAGAAACACTGTTAGCATTTCTTTTCAAATTACAACAAAGTAGCTGGGCATGGTGGTGCATACCTAACCCGCCATGTGGAAGGAGCTGGGTGACAGGGAAAGAGTCCATGGCCAGCCTCCTCTACATATGGCGTGTGAAGCCAGACCTGGCAATACTGAGACTCTTTCTCAAATAAAACAAAACAAAAACTGCACAAAGTGTTTTTTTATACCAATACATACTTCTTACTAGAGACATTAATAAAGAATTCTGTAGCCAAACACTCAGAAATGTTTAACCTAATTCTAGAAACTATTGATCTGATACCCTCCCCCAGCCTCCAGGCTTATGTTCCAGCTCTTCTCTATGACTTAAGGTTCTATTGTGACTTTAGTCAGAGCCAACTATCCATCACCTCCGAGAACAGGATACAAAGCAGACGGAGCAGGGTCAAGACACATACAGACCAACACTAAAAAGGTCACAGGTGACTAATCGCTAGACATGAGTGAGCAACTGGGATGGACATGGTGCTCTTATCAAGAACAATTACAAAAGCTGGTCAGAAATACACACTGTGATTGCTTTCAGACAACAGGACAACAGCCAGAGCAGAACAATATGACTGCTGTGGGTGCCCATAAAGATGGCTGCACTCCACCTTGGCACAAGGGCAGAGAGTTCAAAGCTGTCAGCAAGTCAGAAGACCTAAAGGTCAAAGGTGTGGCTACAGAAGGATGTTTCAGCCATCTTAGTCTAAATAACAGACCTGAATCTGAGGTGTGGCTACTCCTGACCTTAAGGCTAGGGAACAAGAAGGTAGATCTAGCTAAGATATGGTTACTGAACCCTTAGAATAAGTGAGGAAGAAAAGTCTGTCTGTTCCATATATATGATACTGTGTTCCCCTTTTTCGTTATGGTATATAAGAATGGTGAAAAATAAACTTGTGGCATTTCAGTATTGACTGATCTGCCCTCCTGACCTTTATTCTGTTTCTCTGTCTTTCTTTATTATCTATAGCAAGCCTTGGGGCATCTCGGCTGGCTCCGATTGCAGCCAGGGAAACCCCTGAGATTAGTCCTGCAATCCCCTCCTTTTCTGCAAGCACTAAGGAGGAAGGATCCACACAGAGCACAGCAGCCTAAGGGATGAGAAGGATCTGGAGTACCAGGAGGCTGAGGCAGCAGAAGCTTGAAGACAGAGTGCTGAGAATGAGCTATGAATCAGCCCAGGGACTCCCTGGAGTCTGGTGCTCACTCCTGAGACACTGGGAGCTACAAATCAAATGATTCCTAGAAGACTAAGAGACACTTGAACTCTATCCATCCAGGGCCAAGTCAAGTCGCTGAACCTTCAGAGTACAAGCAGAGGCTCCAGAAGGGCCATACTTTGTAACAAGATGTTAGCCCTACCAAAGGCTACTGTATTAGTCTGGAGTCTCTAGAGGAACAGAATTTATAGCTCTATATATAGAGAGAAGAGAGAGAGAGAGAGACAGACAGACAGACAGACAGACAGACAGACAGACAGACAGACAGGGAGAGAGCGAGAGAGAAGGGATTTTATTAGAATGACTTACAGGCAGTGGTCCAGCTAGTCCAACAATAGCAGTCTACTCACAAAAGGTCTAAGAATCAAGTAGTTGTCCAGTCTATGAGGCTAGATGTCTCAGCTGGCCTTCAGTGTACATGGAAATCCCAAAGGAATAGGCTCTGAAGCCAGTGAAGGAAGGGATTTGCCAGTGAAAGGAAGAGTAAGCAGACAAAGAGCGAAAGTTTCCTTCTCCTGTGTCCTTTATACAGGCTGCCAGCAGAATTTGGGGGCCAGATGAAGAGTGGGTCCTCCCACCTCAAAAGACCCAGAGCGGAAGTAGGTCTTCACACTTCAAATGATTAGATTAAGAAAAAGGTCTCACAGGTATACCCAGCCAGCCCCTTGAGTTTTCGTTAATTCCAGGTGCAGCCACCACAGCTGCCCGACACCCACCCTTACAAAGCTTATCAATACTAAAAACAGAGCACGTAATCCACAAATGATTTGGCTTCTCACCAAAACAAACTTCAACTCTCTTTAAAAGTATGTTTGTTTTGTTTCTTCTGTTGCTGTGATAAAAGCACAGATAAAATCAACTTAGAGGAGGAAGGGGTTTATTCAGCTTTCGGGTTGCAGTCCGTCTATCAAGGGAAGCCAAAGCAAAGAGCAGAAACTATGCAGGGACACTGCTTGCTGGCTTGCTCCACTGCTTTCTCTTTTATAGCCCAGGCATGCCTGCCTATGGACGGCACCGCCCACAGTGGGCTGGGCCCTTCTGCAGCCATTGGCAATTAAGAATATGTCTCACAGACATGGCCACAGACCAATCTGATCTGGACAATTCTTCAGTTGAAGCTATCTCTTCCATGATGGCTCCAAGTTTGTTTCAAGTTGACAGCTAAGGAAGCCAACTATGACAAAAGAAAACAAAATTTAAACTGGTAACATAATATGCATAAGAAAATCAGACTAGAATGACATTGAGGAAAAGGAGAATAATAACAATGATTTATAAACAGCTACTAGAAACATGCTTCATAGACATGTTTCATCATAGGATGAAAAAGGGGCCAGCAATATGTCTCAGCAACAACACAAGCCTGATAATATATATTATATATATGATATATAACTCTTTTAAAGAATGAATAGGTTAGTGGTGCACACCTTTAGTCCCTGCACTCAGGAGGCAGAGGCAGGCTGATCTCTGTGAGTTCGAGGCCAGCCAGGTCTACAGAGCAAGTTCCAGGAAAGGTTTCAAAACAATACAGAGAAGCCCTGCCTCGAAAAACAAAGCAACAACAACAACAAAAAGAATGAATAGGAAAATATAAAAATAAAGGAGGAAAGAGGAAGACATGAACATGACAAAAAGAGAAATGGAAACGTGAATCAAACAGATCAAACAGTTCCATTCAATCCTGTTGTGCTGTTGAAACAGCGTACGCATCAGAAATTTAAAATTCACTGGATAGGATTGACAGCAAACTACAGAAAATAAGACAAATTAACTTAAAAACGAAGCACAGAAACTACTCAAATTAAAGCGAAGGGGGAGCAAAAACACCAAGCCCCGTGATTTATGGGACAATGTCAAGCAATGTCATCTACATTTAATAACAGGAATCGTGCAAAGAAAGAAGACTGGAGAGAGAGACGTGAAGAAACAGAGACAGAAGTTCTTCCAACTTGACATAAAGTTTAAGTCCTTAGATCCTTAAAATTCAATCAGGATAAGCAAAGGAAAAAAAAAAAAAAAACAGGAAAGCAACATCACAAAACTGTTCAAAAATAGGAAAATAGTACCATTTAAGGAAAAAGAAAAAAGATACTATGCCACTCTCCTGGCTCTGAATGTATCAAAAAGTCATGATAACTCTAGACCCCCCCCCCAAAAAAAGCAAAGAACATTGTTCTAAACCTTCTACTTGAAAAGAACCCACCAAAGCAGAACCCTTACTTTGGTGGAGGCCTTCCTTTGCTGCTATTCCTAGCAGAGTAATCAAGCATGAAAAACGCTGTCGTCACAGCACAGTACATATCTTCATTCACACATATCCCTTCATTCACACATAGACTGCAGGAGCTCAGCCAAAAACCTTAGTAGGCTTGTGCGTAGATGTCTAGGGCAGTTCTGAGTGGAGGATAACTGTACTACGTAGCTATGCCATGTTACAGGAAAAGGTGAGAAATGTCTCCAGAAGGATCAAACACCCATCTCAAGATCAATCAAACACCTATCTCAAGAACAATCAAAGGGCATCCCCAAAGGAAAGCAACCACACTGTTACCTCAAAGTAGACAGACACACACAGACACACACACACACCCAGAATTTTAAGCATTACTTACTCTGAGTCTCCACAAGGTCCAAGGCAACGCTAGAAACTGTGTCCATTCCAGAGCTGATGCAGGCTTGGAAGTTTTTTAAGGAGGAGAGAGCAGACTCCACACCGCTGAAGGATATGTAGCGAGTGGAGCCTGAATTTGTACTGGAACGCCCTGGCATCTTGGAATTGTTACCTAAAATTTCAAACACAGAACAATAACTGTACGGGAAAAGAACACAGCTATAACATTCAATGGCGACTGTATTCAACATCCATGTGCTACGCTGTTACCTGCAGAGACATGGGAGGAGGAGGCGGCGCAGAGTCCGTTCCTGTTCCTCTCCTTCCCAGCCTCTACAACAATGGTTCTCACCCTTCCTCATGCTGTGGCTCTTTTAATACAGTTCCTCACGCTGTGCTGACCCCAGCCATAAAGGACTTTTTGTTGCTACTTCGTAACTGTAATTTTGCTACCATTATGAATGTTATGTAAGTATCTGTTTTCTGATGGTCTTAGACAACCCCTGTGAGAGAGTTGTTGAACCCTTTTCTGCCTTTGGTTTTCTGACAGGGTCTCACTATGTAGTCCAACCATTTTCTAACTCACAGCAATCCTCCTGCCACTCAAATGCTGACACAGTAGGCATGACTCACCCGCAGACCTGGCTTGGAATACTCCATGACACCTGACACTACAAACTCCTGACATTGCCTCACCCATTTGCACTAAAGACCATAGTTAAAGATCTTGATTGCTTCCCTCCCCGCCTACCAGCCTCAGACCTTCTTTCCTTCCCTCAGCGATCCTTCCTGCTGTCCTACATCACAGAGTTTCTCCTCTCAGACGACACCACTGTCTACTGCCAACCAAAGGTACCTTCTCTCTTTAAAGAAAAGCACCCTCCCACCTTCCCCTGATTACTCCCCACGCTTCTGTGTTCATCCTGGCAGCAAAATCTCCTATAGGCCGGTCTCCGTTTGTCTCAAAATTCTCTCTTCCTGTCCTTACCCGGTGTCTGGTGTCTGCCAAGCTCCTCGCCCCTTCCATTTCATGGCCCTGCTCTCAAGGCCACCACTGCAGTCCTTATCCCCTCCTTGGGGGAACAGCACTTCCTGCTGCGCTCCTTCAGACTCCCATCCCTGCCCATCTCGTTCCTACGGTCTGTCCACAGTTCCTACGCTCTGTCCACAGTTCCTACGCTCTGTCCACAGTTCCTACGACCTGTCCACAGTTCCTACGCTCTGTCCACAGTTCCTACGACCTGTCCACAGTTCCTACGCTCTGTCCACAGTTCCTACGACCTGTCCACAGTTCCTACGCTCTGTCCACAGTTCCTACGACCTGTCCACAGTTCTTACGCTCTGTCCACAGTTCCTACGACCTGTCCACAGTTCCTACGCTCTGTCCACAGTTCCTACAACCTGTCCACAGTTCCTACGCTCTGTCCACAGTTCCCACGCTCTGCCCACAGTTCCCATGCTCTGCCCACAGTTCCTACGCTCTGTCCACAGTTCCTACAACCTGTCCACAGTTCCTACGCTCTGTCCACAGTTCCTACAACCTGTCCACAGTTCCTACGCTCTGTCCACAGTTCCTACAACCTGTCCACAGTTCCTACGCTCTGTCCACAGTTCCTACAACCTGTCCACAGTTCCTACGCTCTGTCCACAGTTCCCACGCTCTGTCCACAGTTCCTACAACCTGTCCACAGTTCCTACGCTCTGTCCACAGTTCCCACGCTCTGTCCACAGTTCCTACGCTCTGTCCACAGTTCCTACAACCTGTCCACAGTTCCTACGCTCTGTCCACAGTTCCCACGCTCTGTCCACAGTTCTTACGCTCTGTCCACAGTTCCCACGCTCTGTCCACAGTTCCTACGCTCTGTCCACAGTTCCTACGACCTGTCCACAGTTCCTACGCTCTGTCCACAGTTCCTACGCTCTGTCCACAGTTCCTACGCTCTGTCCACAGTTCCTACGCTCTGTCCACAGTTCCTACGCTCTGCCCACAGTTCCTACGCTCTGTCCACAGTTCCTACGCTCTGCCCACAGTTCCTACGCTCTGTCTACAGTTCCTACGCTCTGTCCACAGTTCCTACGCTCTGTCCACAGTTCCTACGCTCTGCCCACAGTTCCTACGCTCTGTCTACAGTTCCTACGCTCTGCCCACAGTTCCTACGCTCTGTCCACAGTTCCTACGACCTGTCCACAGTTCCTACGCTCTGTCCACAGTTCCTACGACCTGTCCACAGTTCCTACGCTCTGTCCACAGTTCCCACGCTCTGTCCACAGTTCCTACGCTCTGTCCACAGTTCCTACGCTCTGTCCACAGTTCCTACGCTCTGTCCACAGTTCCCACGCTCTGTCCACAGTTCCTACGATCTGTCCACAGTTCCTACGATCTGTCCACAGTTCCTACGATCTGTCCACAGTTCCTACGACCTGTCCACAGTTCCTACGATCTGTCCACAACTGCTGATCCTCTCCACATCCCCGGTTCGTACATATTCTTCAGGTACACACACACACACACACACACACACACACACACACACACCTATCTGCTAAGGTCTGAATGTCTGGGTCCTCATCCCCAGTTCATACGTTGAAACCCCAATGTCCAAAGTGGTGATGTTAGGAGACAAGGTGTGGTGGGGAGGCGACTAGAGCCACCCTCCAGAATGCAATCGGCCCCCTTTAAAAGGATGCTCCAGTGGGTTCCCTTGCCTTTCTGCCACACGAGGAAACAGCAAGTACATGCCATTTACAAACCAGAAAACATGTCTTTACCAGACACTAAATCTGACGGCAAGTTGGCCCTGGAATCCTCAGCCTCTAAAGTGGAAAGATGGTAGTTTCTGATGCTTTTAAACTACTAGGATACAGTATCTGCATTATAGACATCTGAACATTCTAACCTATTCCTCGAGTCTTGGTTTAAGTTAGGGCTTGGGAGGGTCTCCCCCATGGAACATTTAGCATCATATGGAGACATTTTTAGTTAGGTTGGGAGACACGGACTAGCATCCAAAGGAGCTGAGGACAGGAGTACTGACAAAATTCTCACAAGTAGGGTGGTCTCTTACTACAAAGAATCATCTGAAAATACAATGTCACCACCACATTGGTTAAGAAACACTGGTTTAAGTCGACTTCTTCTTGGAACCTCTTTCCAATGGCATCGATCTTGTCCCCAGGACCTATAGCCTCCAAGACAGTCTACATCAAAGTTGTGAGTTTCCTGGGGTCTCCCAGGCCATGAGGCTCAGCACACCACCTTGCTCCCCTCATATTCCTGGAAGAGCTGCTGTCAGTTAAGCCAGTTGTTAATGTAAACAGGGAAACGCTGCTCCTACAAGTTTCTGTACAGCACTGTAGTAGACACGGAGCAAACAGGAAGTTAGACCCCTAACTTCCTTTAAACCCAAGGTGGCAAGCTCAACAGAGTTGCGTCTCCTCTTTCAGCATGCCAGCACGGACACACCCTTCAAGCCTCCCCTTGCCTGTGGCTCCGTCCCGTCCACATGTCATCCTAGCAAACATTCCCTACTACTAAACCTAAGCCAGCTACGTGCTTACATCTGCCATTCCCTCACGCGAGGACCACCTTACACTGGAGCATGCATTAGATGCAAAGCGTCTCACGAAAGCCAAGTGATGAGGCGGGACTCGCCGAGTTACCAAGGTAACAGTAAAAACTACTGCCATTTCCAGGTCACCGCCCGGATGCCCGTGCCCAGCAGGGTGAACACACACACACACACACACACACACACACACACACACACACCAGGTCACCGCCAGGATGCCCGTGCCCAGCAGGGTGAACACACACACACACACACACACACACACACACACACACACATCAAGGCAGTATCTTCCCTACTACGTTACCTCCGCCTGCAGAAGAGAAATGGTACCTGTGGCCCCGAGTACATCGGAACTACCTCTTCGTGCTTTTAAAGTCAGTTCAAACCAGATTTTCTTTTTTCTCACGGGGATGAAGGATGCAGGCTGTCAGGGGTGAAGGATGGGAGGCTGCAGTGCCGACAGCTACCCCGCCTCCGTCTGGCCGCTCGCTGCCTGCGGGTGAAGAGAGCCGGGCCCACGGCCACAGCCCGAGTCCCCCGAGCGCACAGGGCGGCGACAACACCCGCCAGCCCTCCTCCCCGACCGCGGCTCCGCTCCGGGCTCACCTGGCCACCGCGCCTAGCTCGGATGTGTATCCCCGGGAACGAGGCACGCACGGACACCCCCAATCCCTTCTCTCAGCCCGCTTCTCCAGGGACTGAAACGCCCCGCGCGCGCCCTGCGTCATCAGTCGGCGCCCGCGCGGGATCACGTGACGCCCGGCCCCGGGCTCCGCCCCTGGGTCACGTGACGGGCTGGGGCAGCCAGGGCAGAGAGCAGGCTGCCGCGGGCTGCAGTGGAGACTCGGAGGGGTCGCCGGGGCCGGAGACGGGGACCCGGGTGCCCAGGGCTCGCGCGCGGCCGGCGTCGGGCGGGCGCGTGACAGGTGAGTCGGGGGCGAGCCTGAGGCTCCGACGCCCTCCCCTCCCGTGGGCCGCGCAGGGTGCTGCGCCCCGGAGCCACCAGGGCCGGGAGACGTAGGTCCTGCAGGGTTGGGGCTGCATCCCTGTCATTCGCCTACGCCTTAGTGGATGTCCCTCTTGCACGCGACTTTGAAGCGTTAGGTAGGGGTGGATGCTCAGCTGCTTGGCCCATGCAAGTTTCCCGGTGCGGTGCCCTGGTGATGTGGTTGGTTGAGCTTTCATTGACTCTCGAGAAAACCGAGAAGTCACTGAACTGGAGGCTGCTACACGAGCGAGAGGGTTGAATTAAAAAAAGAAGAAGAAGAAGCAGTCTGTCACGCACATTGAGTTTGGGCAAGTCGCTTCTCACGCACCCTGATGGCACTCACCTAAGATAAGGTGCTGAAGTCCTTTGTATGGGGGAGAGGTGTCACTGGGTCCTGATTCTTCTAAGAGAAATAAACATTTGGCCTCCTGATTTCTATATGGATGAGGGGCAGTGCAGGAGTTTTATTGCCTCCCTCCGCAACTAGGGATGCTCTCCTTAGGTGTTCTTTAGCATTCATGAATCAAGCTGGAGTGATCCAGCTCCTATGAGAACTTTTCTGGGAGAGCATCCATTATGCATTTAAGATCATTGCTTTCTTCCTTATGGAACTGACGTTTTGTGAAAAAAATTAAAAATACATCCATTATTTGCCCTCTGGATCGGGCCAATGATGTGGTTCTTGAAAGCAATGTTCCTTTGACAAGGGATTCTAACTATACAGAAAAACCAAGGGCCAGTGCCAAGTACCTAAAAAGAAAACTGCCATACTTTATAACTCATTAAATAATATTAGTAAGAGAATTAGGATCTGTGGCTGCACCCCATGCTGTTAACAGTACAGTTCAACCTTGGGTAAGAGTACATGAGTTTCCTTCTGCCTTTGTATGAAGGCAATCTCCAACCTCATTCGAGATAGGCCCAACTAAAACACAACATATTGTAAAGCTCACTGCTTGCAGAGTAAATGATTACATGGTTATGCGCCTATAATGATGGCCATTTGATTCTCTTATTCTGGGCCTACTCTGAGCTGTTCAGAAAAGTATTCCTACCAGATAAGTTACTTGTATGTCTCTAGTATGTCTTAATTCATCTAGATGTGATAATGTAACCTAGTGATTTATTCTCTCATTTGATACTGTGTCGACATTAGTCCTGAAGAATGTAGCAAGACACTTTCATAATAAGACATTTAAAAGAACAACTCGGTGTTCTTTATGATATTTTACTAAAGATGGATTAATTGTAATAGGTATTTTCCTTTTACATTAAATTCTATTAAAACACTTATTCTAAATGCAGGTGTAGATAAGGCAGCCACCTTAGTTAATAAAGGCCCACAAACATTTGTTGAACCATTGCTAAATATGCTTGATTATTTTATGTCCTTTTAGAGTTATCAGTATGTTTTGACTGTTTGTCTAGATATGGTCCCACTATGAAACTCTAGCTAACCTGGAACTTGCTATATAGACCAGGCTGGCTCCAAACTAATAGGAATCTACCTGCTTCTGCCTTTGGAGCACTGATATTCAAGTAGTATGCCACCCACTATTCCTGGCCTTAAAGTATGATAACCTTACCGGCCAAGAGACTGACACACAAAGTCTTGATTTACATCATCATTTCAAGCCTGATCGTCCCTGGATGAGTACATGAAGGTGCTGGTCTGTCTCTCTGTCCCGTGGGTGAGATGAGGAAGAAGGCAGTTATCATTGCTTTGCTTTAAGCCCTGTCCTCCAGGGTCCAACTGTTTGCACTCCTACAGTGTATACAGTTGGGCAGCAGTTTCATCTGCTATCCATAGCTTGGCCTTTGCTTTGTGAGGGCAGTTTTATCCTGTTTGAGTGAGTTTGGTCTTCACTGGGCCTCAGTAGTATCATTTTGCCCATTGTGGATTATTTTCTCCCTTGTCCTCTCTCATTTCCCGTGCCAGTCCAGATCAGTCCAGGAAAATGAGATTGCCTGAAGCTCGGCCTGTTACTTAGCAGTGTGGTTTAAGAAGCAGGTGTGACTGGGAATACTAAAAAGACTTGTTAAGAATGTGTGCCATGGTGTGTATTATAGGGTTCCCTGGTGAAAGTTCCAGGCAGCCGTTGTGACTTCTCAGCATCCTTTGCTTGCGGATCTGATCTGGTCCATCCCCATTTGCTCTGTGTCTACCCCTTGTTCACTGTGCATTGTCTTAGTTACTTTTCTGTTGCTGTGAAGAGGGATTCAACTGAGAAGGGGACACTTTCCCTGGATATGGGTGAAGTCATTCCACAGGCTGGAGTCCCAGACCTAGTAAAAAGGAAAGAAGGGAGTGACCTCTCTCTGTGAACATCGGGGAATGCCTTGCTTTCCTTCAGTGAGCCAGCGCTCGTTGGCATAGTTTTCCTGAGTTGTATCTGTACTTCAAAAGCATGTACACACATTTCGTAAATTTTCTCTTTTTTCAATGCAGGTTCTCTAATGGGGCAGCCATTTGGTCTACAGTCCTGGCTTCACCTTATGATCCACAGACCCCAGCTCTGAGGCCAGTTAATCATCCCCACCATCCGGGTGTGGAATAGCGGGTCGCCCTCACGATGTTGGACTTCCTGGCTGAGAATAACCTCTGTGGCCAGGCAATCCTGAGGATCGTTTCTTGTGGCAATGCCATCATTGCCGAGGTACTGCGGCTGTCAGAGTTTATCCCTGCTGTATTCCGACTGAAAGACCGTGCCGACCAGCAGAGATATGGAGACATCATATTTGACTTCAGCTATTTCAAGGTGCTTTTCCCCATGGCCTCGGTATTCCTGTCCCTTTTACAAAAGCAGCCTTGAGCCATGAGGCTTGAAATAGTCAAATTAGTTATGGAGCGGTAAAAGGACAGTTTTTCAAAGTTGACATTAACTCCTGCCTTGAAAATAAGGGAAGGAAGGGTACTGTGTGGAAAGTCCTAACATGATATAAACCACTAATAGAAAACAACCTATAACATAAAGCCTTTTGCCTTGAGAAGCATTTAAAAGCATGCTAATCTTGGTTGAGATTCACGCTGAGGCTCTTTGAGTCTAGGCCGTCTTAACCTTCTGTCCCTCTGCTGTAGTTTTGGTGAGTGAGAACCTTAGGCACAATTCTTTTTGGTTTTGGTTTTGGTTTTTCAAGTCAGGGTTTCTCTGTGGCTTTGGAGGCTGTCCTGGAACTAGCTCTTATAGACCAAGTTGGCCTCCAACTCACAGAGATCCACCCACCTCTGCCTCCCGAGTGCTGGGACTAAAGGTCTGCGCCACCACCGCCCGGCAAAATTTTACGGCAACCTGGAACTATGTCCAGCAGATCAGCCTTTGCTAACTTTTAATGCAAGTGTGTTTCCTTCTCAGGGTCCAGAGTTCTGGGAAAGCAAACTGGAAGCCAAACCTGAGCTGCAGGATTTAGATGAAGAATTTCGGGAAAACAACATCGAAATTGTGACCAGGTTTTATTTAGCATTCCAAAGCGTGCATAAATACATCGTAGACTTAAACAGGTATTGTTGAATTTTGTAACAGTTGATTGTGATGGAATAGCAGAGGAGCAGGGACCCAGCAGAACATGTATGCCTTTCTCATTGTTAACTCATCCATGCTGTACATTGATGTTGTTTCATTATTATCTCCCGTTCCTGTGATGGGTCATGATGAACTTTTTTTACATTGTCGTCGAACATCCAGCTCTTCAATTTGTGATCCTGTCCTACCGACTCAGCTTATATTAGTTCTTAGGAGTTGACCAAATGATATGCATGGGGTGTGTGTGTGTGTGTGTGTGTGTGTGTGTGTGTTTACCGATCCATTGACCCCTAGCCACTATTCCATGTTCTGTTCCTATGCCATTGTTTCTGGGCTCCTGCTGTTTTGTAATTCAGGAGTAGGAAGAGTGCAGAGGAACTAAAGCCAGAATGCCAGTGCCCTGCCTTGTCTCCCCCTCCCCCATCCCCAAAGACGTTACGTCTGCTGTTTACATTAACACCTTGCCCTTGCCTTTCACTTCTAGATATCTTGATGACCTCAATGAAGGAGTTTATATCCAACAAACCTTAGAAAGTGTGCTTCTCAATGAGGATGGGAAACAACTCCTAGTAAGTGACAGGAACTATAAAATACTCAAGAATACTCAACAGCTGGGCATGGTGGCAATCAAAGACAAGTGGATCTCTGTGAGATCAAGGCCACCTTAGTCTACACAACAAGTTTAAGGACACCCAGAGCTATATAATAGACTTTGTCTCAAAAAAATAATAATAATAATAATATGAAACAGTATCAATATATACAGAATCCCATTCCTCAAAGAAAAGGAAATAGCGTAATAATTACTTTCTGAGTGTAGAATGTGTGGGCGTTGTATGAAATTACTCATGGAAGAAATGGTCATGTTGGGTTATAGCTTCCCCTGTAACAGAAGTCCTTCCTCAGGGTTGGGGATGTAGCTCAGTGGTAGAATGCTAGAGTGCTTGCCTAGCATGTGTAAAGCCCTGGCTTCAGTCCTCAGCTGTGTGGTAGAACATGCCTTTATTCCTAGCACTTGTGAGACAAAGGGAGGCAGAGAGATCTCTGTGAGTTCAAGGCCAGCTTGGGCTACAGAGCAAGTTCCAGGATAACCAGAGCTACACAGAGAAACCCTGTCTCCAAAGACCAAAAAGAAAAAGAAGAAGTCCACCTTCTTTTTGCATCCAAGACACTGAG